CTGCTCAATTCATGATTCAAAACATGCTTGATTAAAGGTGGTACTACTGATGCAAGCCGAGAAGCTTGTTAATTAGTAAACATTAAAATCTTATTTGAAAGATGTTTGTCTTATATCTCAACACAATCTTCATGAACTTTCGATTCGATTCTATATTGCATCTAATCTAGAATTCCATGCTGCCTCCGTCACAGCGCTGTAAAGATCAAACCACAAAAACTCCCACAGGACCATTCAAACGAGATCATCTGTTAAAGTATCTTGAGGATCAAGCTAAAAGTGAAAAAGATTGGGAGGATGTGGTGCCATTTTCACCGGGGATCAAGCGAGGTAACTAACAAGGTTTTCCATTTTGAGTAGCTAGTAAATAGTCCTTCTAGGAAAAGTTTGGGAAGGAGATAGTGGACGTGAATCAGCTGAAGATGGTGGTGATACTCGAGATTCGGGAGTTGCTGGAATGGAAATGCCGATAGAGTTGGACCTAGACGATGAAGAAGAAGAATTTGAGGCAGCACTTGATCATGCCCCCGAAAGGGATCTTGTAGACCTAGCAGGAATTCTTGGTAGGTATTTTTTTCTACTTCTTGTTTAATTAATCATAGAAAAATGTATTCTTTAGGCATGCACAATATTTTGAACCAACCACAGTACTACAATGCACTGAAAGGAAGAGGTCAAGATGATAGTACGGGTACTACTTTTGCGGGTGTTATTCGAGCATATGAGCCGAAAGAAATGCCAGATGAACCAGACAACGAAACAGATGTTGATGATTGCATCAAGTAGGTTTAGTCTCCTAGGTCTATTAATATTTCTAGAGCCTTGTCTGGTACGAAATGCATTTTTAGGCGCTTAGAAGAAGATGATGAGGACATGACAGAAGTAAATATTAACAATATGAAGCGGGTGTCGAAGGTATGTGTTTGCTCAGTTTTCTCTTTTTATTGCTAGGATTGTACTGTGCATATGATCATTTGATGGGATGGATTTTTAGGAAAGAATAAGAAAATTAATCACCGCAGCATGTGCCAGTAAACACATCCACAAGTTAAGTATGGCCAATACTGCAATTTCGGATAGCGAAGCTCGGGTACGAGGTGTTCTGATCTTTGTTTCTGTTGGCGGAATGTCCTATTATTCAT